CTTGGTGGTAGCTGACACTTGCCATTGGAAGGTCGGTCTATTTTAGAAATGGGAGAGGAGAGCCAGGTGCGGTGGCTCACACCTGTAATCCCAAAAATTTGTGGGGGCCGAGATAGGAGTATTGCTTGGGCCCAGGAGTTCAATACCAGCCTGGGCAACATACTGAGATCTCATCTGTATTAAAAAAAATTGGAAATGGAAGAGGAGAAAACAAGATAATCTTTTAAATGCCTACCTATGACAGGAATCAGGTGAAATTGTGCTTAGAGTGTTAAAAAATCCTCATTTAATAATTAGGCACTAGTTTGAAAGTTGTATTTTAGAGTGAAGAAACTTTACTTTGGTGACATTGTGGCAAGAGTATCCCATGGCAACTTCAGTGGAATTTGTTGGTCCCTCAGATTGCAAACACTGCCTTTTACTCTCTTCACTCCATGTTTTATCTGGAGAAGACTTTTAATGCCAACTGTAGTGTTGTTGCTGATTTTAGATGGCTTATTTTTAAAGCCTCTGGTACATTCTCTGTTGATGTCGTTATGGACTGTCTCTGTAGCCAATTAAAAATCCTCTTAACTATCATAGATTGTGTCAGAGGAGATCGCTGTCATTCCTCTCCCAGGAAAGATGAAATTTATGATCCCTATCAATTTATTACTCGTTTTCCTTAAGCAAAACATGACTATTAGTTCAGTTAGACATTAACTCAGAAAACTCTAGATATTTTGATTGATATGTTATAGTAACCAAAAACATTGAAGTTTTAAAGATGACTGGAACCAGCTATTAGGATTGAGTAGGTGTATTGCTTATACCATTACATAAAACACAATAGCTAAAGCATTTTGAATTTCAGAGCTATACCCACATTAGCCTCAGTGTTTTCAAATGTATTTATTTTGAGGACAGATTTAGATTTGGGTAATTCTGTCAGTCTTTTCAGGTGATACACTACTATAAAAGATTCTACTTATCGCTGGCCATGGAGGCCCACACCTGTAATCCCAGTATTATGGGAGGCTGAGGCAGGTGGATCACCTGAGGTCAGGAGTTCGAGACCAGCCTGGCCAACATGGCAAAATCCTGTCTCTACTAAATACAAAAAATGAGCTGGGTGTGATGGTGTGTGCCTGTACTCCCAGCTACTCGTGATGCTGAGGCAGGAGAAGTGCTTGAACCTAGGAGGTAGAGTGAACTGAGATTGCACCACTGCCCTCCAGCCTGAATGACAGAACGAGACTCCATCTCAAAAACAAAACAAAACAAAAGATTCTGCTTTTTACCCTGTGGTAATGTCTTGGTCCTGCTCCAGCTAGCTTAGGTGAAAAGGAGTAATTAATTTTAAGGGCACTGAGGGTATCTCAGAAGGCTCATGAATCAGTGGAACTGGGTACTAAAAGCCATTAGGACTAAGGCAGCACCTGCCTTCTACTCATCTCCACTCCGCTCCCCCTGCCGTGCTTCTCTGCATGGCAGCTGTGTGGGGGTCCAGGACTCCTAAGATGTAAAATACAGTCACACTGATGACTGTAACTTATTACAGTGCAAGCACATGAGGCAAACTCAGTACAGGGAAGAGGTGCATGGGGCGAGTCTTCTCCCATGGGGCTGCTCCGTTTGCACTTCATCCCCACCATTCACAAATGAGTTGTGAAAACACCATGGGATGTTGTCAGCCAGGGAAGCTCCTGGGTGGACCCAGCACCCACGTTTTTATGGAGGACTGCTCATGTAAGAAGTCTCCGCTTGTTAAGTGTCAAAATTCTAGACTCCCAAAAGGAAGTCTCCCATACTTTCTATGGCGTAGAGCATGTTGTTTGTGCAGACAGCTTAGGCACAGTGAGCCATTCTTTCCAGTTAGGTAATGATCGGAAGGAACCGTCCCAAATCCAAGTTTTGACATACCAGCCAAGGTGCCAGCCTTGCAAGCAGACAGGCCCTTCCTTAGTGATCTGCTGCTTCACTCTTTCCTGCACAGTGGGAGATGAGCCCCACCCCAGTCTGAAGTTTACACACCATACCTTCAGTTAAGGTTGAGCAGAGCCCTTTGAGTATGTCCCAACTCCAGATTCCCAGGAGAAGGAGTTAGCCCAGAGAGGGTGGAGTGTCCCCCCGATCCAGGCAGGATGGTCAGAGAAATGGGTCACCTGGTCCAGCATGGATATCAGGAAATCTTCCTGTGGACAGGTGGTTTGTTTGGGGGCTCAGAAGACACTCCAAAAGCAAGTCGGCCATAGGGATGCATGTGTGGAAAATCCTCTCAGAAACTGTACGGACTTTATCTTGCAAAGGCTCTCTTGGGAGGAGCATTACAAAGCCATACAGGAAAGTGGTGCCTGACTGAGGCCCCAGGAGCTCTGGGTTGCTCTGAGGAAACAGGGTAGTGTGTAGGTGTTCATTTGCATAGAAGCAGTGAATGCCTAAGAGATTCTGTAATAGATGCAGTTAGCTTATCCTCAGGTGTTCTCTAATAGTCTCAGTGAAGTTTTGTTTTTCTTCACCATTCTGATTGCAGCCAGTTGGAGTTCTTGAAAATGGCCCGATTTCTCCCTGAGATTGATCCTTGTAGGTGGTGGACAAGAATACCATACATATTTATAATATTCTTCTGTGTCTTCTGTAGTTTTTGTTTGTTTGAAAGCTTTTATATTAATCCGTTTTCATGCTGCTGATAAAGACATACCCCAGACTGGGCAATTTACCGAAGAAAGAGGTTTAGTGGACTTACAGTTCGAAGTAGCTGGGGGGACCTCACTATCATGATGGAAGGTATCTCAGGCACATCTCACATCACGGCAGACAAGAGAAGAGGGCTCGGGCAGAGAAGCTCCACTCTTTATGGTCATCAGATCTCATGAGACTTATTCACTATCATGAGAACAGCATGGGAAAGACCTGCCCCCATGATTCAGTTACCTTGCACCAGGTCCCTTCCACAACATGTGGGAATTCAAGATGAGATTTGGGTGGGGACACAGCCAAACCATATCAGTTTTCTTGGTTAGACTTTTAGTCAGAACTGTTGAAGGCTATGCATCTCAGCCATGACTTCTGTTTGTGAATAATTCCTGATCATCTCAGTAGTACCCATATAGAAAGCACTGGTATTTCTTGAAGCATGGGTCTCTTTTATTTGCTGAAGGCAGGGGCTGATGTAGGGTGTTGAGGTGACCTTAGTATGGGCAGTGGTTCCCACGGTTGGGAGACACAAGTCTCTTTTGCACAAACCTATCACTGGGATGCTTTGAGAAGGGCTGAGTGTCACCTCAGAATATAGTGGGAACCCTGTCAGTTCTGTGGCCCAAGTAGAAAGGGTTTCCAGATCCCTTCAGTCAGTGGGAAATTGCCATAGAATTACCATCACATCCCCTTCCTTGGCTACATGCATAATAGTTTAGTATGAATGAAAGAAAACACACACATATGCATACACTCTGTCTTTCTGTGTGTCTGTCTGTGTATGCCAGGAAGTTAAAACCCAGAGCTTCCAGCCAGACCCTCATATTTGTTTTGCTATGGTTCACACGTGGACGCTTACTTGGAGTCAGGTAAACAGTAATCCCTCTGACTCCATGCTGTGCATAGCAGGCCAGTTTGTCGCTGCTGTCTGTGCACTCATGCTCTGTGTGTGCTAGTCTGGCCTCAGGCATACCATGGTGCCCCGTCCTATCCTACAACAGTAGGGGGCTGATCAGCTGGACCCTATACATGGGTCCATCTGATGGCTTGATGGAGCTACCTTCTATGTGTCAGTCTCTCTTTAAAATACCCAACAGTATCCTCAGACTAATTTTTGCTTTTGCATTTTTGCTTTTGTTATCTTTGAGATATTGAGGGTAGAGGGCAGCATTCATTCCAGAAAGGACAAGACTTCTAAGGAAAAGAGAAGTATGTTTTTGTGAGTCTTAAGAACAGTGTATGAGTGATAGAAAAACAGTTCCTTAGCCCCTCCTTCTTGCCTATCAGCAAGAAGGCTTTTGAAAACAGTAGTGAATCTGCTTTGCAGGGGCATGGACTGGAAGGAGCTAACTTTCTCCTGTCTTTTGAACACTGTTGTTTTAGGATACAGGATAACATTGTTGATTTCTGGGGACCTAGGATGTTATCTCCCTGAAGGAAACCTATTCTTCATGTCTTCTGCAGTAACCAGTAATTGTGTTGATGGATTCATCTGTATCCACAAAATGAGCTTTCAGAAAAGAAAATGCAAAATTCAGTGATACTAGATTATTATAAGCTCTTCGCATTCCCTGTCACTGACCTTTCTACCTCCCTGGGGCTGCGGGCTCCTATTCTGAGAAACACTGAGGTCTGGGAACACTGGAGGCTGAGCTGCTCAGCACAGGCCATGCGTGCAGACAGCAGGCTGAGAGCCAACTTCTTAGAGCAGTATCGATTATGATGCCCTCTGTCAGCCTCATGGGGTTGGGAGTGGGTGCCATAAGGAGCTCTAGGGGCCTCCCAGACAGAAACCCAGCTGGATTCCCCAGCAGCAAGCATGGAGAGTAATGGGTTTCCATGATAAATAATGCTGCTGATGTACATCATCTTCCTGGATCTCGATGCTTTCTCAATCTTGTTATTTATATTTCCCTTATATACTGTGATACACTGTGGAGCTTTATGGGTCTGGTAGGGTTGGGAACAAATAGTTCTATTATTTGTTAATTGTGTTAAACTAATAGATGCATGTGAGTTTTATGAGACTTACTAATTACTTTTTTATTCAGTTAATGGAAATCTGTTACTCCTTAATCGATTTGAGCTGCACTTATTTTGTTAGGGTGCTATTGTTTAAATGGATGTATATTTCCCTCTGTGAGCCAGGTTCATTCAGATCTGCATTTGTGCACGTCCCATGTTTTTATGTTTGATAAATGAGCAAGTGGGTATGTTGGTTGGTGGAAGGATGGGACCATGACAAAGAGGCCCAGTCCTCAGCCACCTGTGAGGGGTTGGCATGCAGGCATATAACATTTCTGTTGCATCTTTTGTTTTCACAGTGAGAGAAAAACGCAAGAGTCTCTTCATTAACCATGTAAGTGAAGCTGTCTCCCTGTGTTTTTCATAATGACTGTACAGTGTAAAGAGCTGAAATAACTGTGCTGTAATGGATGAAAATGGTTCATGTGCTTTGTAGATACTTGGAAGAATGTTGCAGTGTACTTATGCTTAGTTTGATGTGTAATCGGACAAGCATCGCCCAGTATTTGTCCACTGTCCCAAATGTTTTTCCAGAAGCCCTAGACAACTGTCGTTCATGGGATGATGTGTGTGAATAATACCATGTCAAACATCACCCAGCAAGTCCAAGTGAAAGCCACTTCATTTCAATTTTGAATCCTTTTCTTCCTCTACGCTCACCCGCAAATTACTCTTTTTCTCTTGTAGCTTAGTTCCATTGGAATAAACACATAATTCTTTTCCATGAGGCTCTCTGTCTTCACACTTTACTTTCCCATTTGTTGTTTGTGGGTCCAGTAGAGTCTGCATGTTCTTCTGATCCTCCAAGAAAGAGCATAAACTTGATAACACTAAATTTAAAAAAGATTTTCAAACATTTGGCTGTAGTCTTTTGGTCATTCTTAGCCACGTCTCCCTCCCCTGGTGGCCAGATGCAGGTGCCCCGTTGAGATACTTTATCCCTCTTCCTTGAGCAGAGGTGTAGCTGGCTGGTTCCAGCCCTTACCCCATACCCTGTGGACTGGGCAAGTCCTAGTTACCCCTTTGTCTCCTTAGAAATATGCCCCTTTAGGCTGGGTGCAGTGGCTCATGCCTGTAATCCCAGCACTTGGGAGGCTGAGGCAGGTGGATCACCTAAGGTCAGGAGTTTAAGACCAGCCTGACCAACCTCGTGAGACCCTGTCTCTACTAAAAATACAAAAATTAGCTGAGCATGGTGGTGCATGCCTGTAATCTCAGCTACTCGGGAGGCTGAGGCAGGAGAATTGCTTGAACCTGGGAGAGGGAGGTTGCGGTGAGCTGAGTTCGTGCCATTGTACTCCAGCCTGGGCAACAAGAGCAAGACTCTGTCTCAAAAAAAAAGAAAGAAAGAAATATGCCCCTTTAGGAAAGAAAACTCCCCAAGAGGTATGGAATGATGAAACAGGTGTAAATTATCAAAATAAGTATGTTCTAAGTCCTCATTCTAAAAACAGAACCACACAGGGGTCTTTCTCAGGATTTTTAGACTGTCTGCATATATGTGTTTACAGATCTTGAAATACTTGGCCCTAAAGCTGTGTATTAAAGAGACTTAAAGCCATAATATTGTATTCTCTGCCCTTTGAAAATATGGACAAAATGCATTTGGAAAGAAATTCATAAGCTGGGCCCATGCACTCAAGGGACATGATGCTGCGCCTTAGAGACTGATGACTTCTTTGTAGTAGTGTTTATGTATATGCTCATACACAGTTTCTAGGGGTCAGAGGGCTTATAGTTTTTAGCAGACTCTTAAAGCAGTCCATGACCTTTTTCCTCGGCTTCTTAAATTTCAAAGCATTCTGGTAAAGCATCTGTGAAACTGCAATCTGTGTCATGAGGAAAATGTGAAAATTGCCATGCTTTTTTTTTTCCTTTCTGAAAGCAGTATATACCTGGATATAAAAATTCGAGTGATTGGAATGAATTCTCTAAATCCTTGCTTCCATTTCTTTGCCTGCTGGGTGCACTTGAATGCTTTCCCACTCACTATACTCATTAGTACGTCTGCCAAGGAGCTTGCAAGGCAAAGAGAAGAGCTGGGACAGCATCCAGGCCATCTTTCCTGTTCACTGCAGCTCTGTGGAAGGTGTGTTGAAGAAAGCATGTTAGGAGTTTGGTTGTCTGTGCCGCTCTGTTCTCGTTGCGGCTGATGATTCAGAGGTATGCTCCCACAGTTCTAATCTGCATACCTCCTTTAACACCCCTCATTCCCCCAGTCACACACTTAACCTTGCCATTTAGTGTTCTGCACAGTCCTGGCACCTGCCACATACTTGAGTACACATGTGCTGCACCCAGCCCATGGATTAGAATGGGAGGCCATGCATTCTCACAGTATCTTCTGAAACCCAGCCCAGCCTTCAAACCTCTGTAAAATTGCATCTGCTGACACAGAGTGAAATCACACAGTTGTTGAGATCTCTGCAAATGCACTGGTTCTTATAGAAAAGAAATCTGGGTGCTAAGTTTCTAATGTAACAGATGACCTTGTAACAAGCAGCATGACCCTCCAAACTGTGAACAGACCTTGCTGCAAATGAATGGCATCAGTCCTGCCACACTGGGAAAAGCTGTGGGAGTGTGCCAGTCCAACCAGCTGAAATATATTTGAGTGAAATTACCTACAGATTCAATTAGGCTAATAAAGCAGCTGTACTTTTTAGGTTTTGAAACTTGGGAATAGTAAGTTAGAACAGTGGAGAAAGGACAAGCAATAATAATAATAATCAGTAGCATCTGCGGAGTGATTTAAAGTGTGTTTGCCAAGCTCTGCTGTAATTGGTTGAATTGACTTATTTAGTTAGCACAGTGGCCATGCTAGGTAGGTGCAGTCTAGTTTACTGTTTTACAGATGAGGAGACCAAGGCACAGGGAAGTTAGCCAGGTAGACGTTGGAGCCCGGGTTGAGTCCCAGGTGGTCTGGCTTCAGTGCCCCACTTAGCTCAAACCCTCTGTGCACCTCAGATAATAACACCAGTTCCCACGTGACAGAGGTGGTTTAGCTTGCTTATCTGAAGTTAGAGATAACATTTATAATTAAATTTGTATGGGACAGTTTCTAGGGTTCACTTCTGAATATGGATCTCAACTAAAATTCATCATTTAGTCTGTTTCTGAACTCGAGAATGATGGTTATTCTTCCCCTTATACCATTTCATTTTTTAATTTGCTTTATTATGAGAGCTGTTGTTTCTTTAATTTCTTTCAAGTTTCTGAAGAACCCACTTAGTACATGTTGCTAAGATAATGTACAAAGAGGCTACTATTTAAGAGAAATGAATGCAGATGTGTAAGTAAGCCATCCAAGACAATGGGGGGTGTTCACCTCTACTCCCAGGACCATGATAACTGCAGGGGAAATAACCTCCTGCAGGTGGAGAGCAGTAAGGTTTTTCTGGCTTCCAGCAAACAACACATACGAGCAAGTGAAAAGAGTGGACTTTGACCCAGGACGTTCTCCAGGGAATGGGGCAGTAGAGAATGGAACCCCAGGCTGGAAAATGAGAGGGGCCTTTAACTGGCCCAGAACAGCCAAGAGAGACTCAGAGGATTAAGTGAAAGGAGATGACATTTCAAGGAATTATTACAGGTTTTAAAGCTTGAAACCATTTGAAAATAAACTACTTTGGATGTTTTGACAGCAAGTTCAGGCAGGGTAAATATATTATAAAGATTAATATCCTAATCAGCACCTATGTTTGGATGTAATTAAAGTGAACAGTTATAGGAAGTTTTTTGGGTTTTTTTGTTTGTTTTTTGTTTTTGTTTTGAGACGGAGTCTCACTCTGTTGCCCAGTCTGAAGTGCATTAGGGCAGTCTTGGCTCACTTCAACCTCCCTGTCCTGGGTTCAAGCAATTCTCCTGACTCAGCCTCCCAAGTAGCTAGGATTACAAGCATGCACTACCACACCCAACTAATTTTCGTATTTTTAGTAGAGATGGAGTTTCACCATGTTGGCCAGGCTGGTCGCAAACTCCTGACCTCAGGTGATCCACCCACCTTAGCTTCCCAAAGTGCTGGGATTATAGGCATGAGCCACTGCGCCCAGCTGGGAAAATTCAATACATATGGAAGATACACGTATTTTTAAAAGGCTATGAAAGGGCTTTATTTAAAGTTTATACTTTATTTAAAGTTTGCTGACGTTTTGACTTTGCCTTTTTTTTTTTTTTAAAAAAAAAAGGTTAACTATTTTAATGAATCTTTTAATTAAAGTGTAAAAATCTCTGATTGTAGATTGTGGGTGATATTGTAGGTGGCTAGAGTTAATCACTCTGAAAAAAAAAATCACCCCTGAAACTCAGAGAGAATGCATGCCTTTTACCTTAGCCTAATTTTTCTATGGTATCTTCCTGCCACCTGGTGATAGCATACCAAAAACGAATGGATTATTCTAAGAAGCTAAAAAAGGATATGAACACAGAATGAATCAGGAGTTGAATAGCCAGCTTCCTTTGTCTTGTTTGCTATAGGTGCACTTTGAAACGAGAAAGCCAGACTGGGGATTCTGTGTAGTGTCATCCTCAAAAAATCCAAAGCATTTATCTCAACACAGAGTCCGGCGATAGTTCAGGAAATTGTGTGAGGAAGTAAAGAAACTAGGGATAGTTGCTTATCAGTGAAGCAAGAGTCACATCGTTAGGGGAACTTCGAGCCAAAAGTAACTTTGTTCAAGCCCTCATTCTGCCACCTGTTAACTGGGCAATCTTGGAAACATCTTGAAGTCTCAGTTCTCTTATCTCCTAGGATGAGGCATAATTCCAGACCTATTTGACTCAAAGGAGGTAATGATTTGCAGCCTAATTATAACACCATATTCATATATGGTATTATGATTGTTGCCCATTGTAGTTTAGGTAAATTTGATTTAGTTTTCCAGGTTCAGTATGAAAACTAATGAAAGTCTTGCTGCTATTTAGAGTATGGATGTAGTTTTTTCATAATCATTAAGACCAGGATTTTCTGGGAGGAGTATATTCTGTTCAGCTCCCTTTGGGAATACTGACTTGAATAGTTTGCTCCTCTTAATGTAGTTCAGTTCCAAACTGATTTCTGCCTTTTAACTTTGAGTGAGGTAGGAATAGGATTTTTTGTAAAATGGTGTCTATTCTGGTTATAGGCTTCATCTGTAAGTCATAAAAGTCAAGTAATGCAGTGAACTACATCTAGGAATTGAAATTTAAAACATTCGGACTCTTGCTTTTGCCTCTGGAAGATTTGCTCTTAATAGTGTGAGAGTTTATTGAGCAGCTGCTGTGTTAGCATCAATGCCATATGCTTGGAGGATGCGAAAGAAGACTCAGTTTTAATATCAGTAAAAAATTTAAAAA